GAACCCGCATAGTAGGGAAGGCCTTAACCGGAAGCCAATGCTCTACCATTAATCTACAAAGGCCATGCTTCACACCGTGAGTTTAATCACACTTTGATCCATATTGGTGGATTCCATACGAGCGGCGAAGTTGGGCGGGTAAAATCGATCCAAGTGTGATTAAACTCACGGTGTGAAGCGTGGCATTTGTAGCTTAATGGTAGAGCATTGGCTTCCGGTTAAGACCATCCCTACTATGCGGGTTCAAATCCCACCAAATGCCACGAGTTCTTTCACAATTGTGTCAACTAGAACCAAGCAAATCTGCCAGACCCCCTTATAATATTTAATTTATATTAAGCACTATTTTAGTAGCCAATCACGTCTTCATCGAAAATAGGGTACTTTACCGTTTATAAAGTGTTTGCGATTTTGGCGTTTTATCAAGACACTAATTATCTAACACTAACCACTACCCCTAACCCATAAATCTAAATCTCTAAAACTAGCCCCTTATCCCTAAAATCCAACTCCCAACCTAAATTTATAACTGTAACTCAGAACCGTAACCCCAAATCGCCTAACTGTGAAGGGAAATGGGCACGCGTAAAATACCGATTCCTTTGAAAACAGTTCCGTAATTCTCCCGCACACTAGCATGCATACTCAACATGATATCATTAGCATTTTTAGAAAGCGTCCCTTATAAGCAACATCGTAGTTTAACATAAAATAACTAACTATTTATTTCGCTGCAGTTTATTATTTATTTTATTTTAATCATTCGTCTATTAGTTTATTATTTAGCTATGTTAGTTTTCATTTAGTTTATTGTAATTTAGTTTAGTTAAAGTCTAGTTTTATTAGTTCAAGTTTAGTTAGTTGTACTATAGTAAGCTATGTTGTTACTTATAAGGAACACTTACCACATTTTTGTAAAGTACTGGCCAAATGTGGCCACGTTCCCATTCGTTACTAGAAGAGGGTGATTAGCGGTCAACGTGCACGTGAGTAAGCTGCATTGCGATACCGTTTATCCTCGGTTCCTCCACCGACGAGGTTTGCGCCACCAGAGATGGGTATAAACGCAGTAGGAGAGTTAAACAGACCGTCTAGGGGCGCTTTACGTCACATTCCCATCCGACAGGATTTAAAAAGGGGGTCGTATGTCTTACGAGGTCGGGTCTGCCATTCTTCCCTCCCTCCATTGGCATGTAAATTTTCTTATATTTAGGTCGGTTGGCCTACTTCGCCCATTATAAACCAATTTTTATCCCTCTTTGTTTATTTAAACTACAGCAAGGTCATGAGTGCACGAGGTCACGACGCTAGCGCCGTTTTGAAAGCAGTCCACTATGGCCTATATTTGATGACTTTTCCAAGGATATCTTTCCACGATGTCGCAAATTGCAGTTATTGGCGACTATGGATTACTTTTTATTTCCGAGTGCTAGGAGTTTGTGCGCTTATTTTATTTCTTTTTGAATGGAGGACGTTATTTTCTGAACATTTTGGAATAATACTTGTGAAACAAAGCATTTCTCTCTCTCTCTCTCTCAAAAGCACAATTCCCGTTGATCCTGGAATTTTATCTGTTCCGCTGGATGCTAGCGCGCTGATCCAGGAGCGTTGGGTTGTTTATCTTGAGAGACAAAGCACCGTCGGTCTAAGATGGATCAATCTCACCTTCTCACTCCCCGGTATCCTAGTCGTTTGTCAGGGTCAAGTTGGTTAGGCATGAGATTGGCGTGAGCTTCCATTTAACGCAAGCCAGGCTTAGGCGGGTGAAAGGAGAGAGATGGAGAACGCGGAGGATGCAACACAAGTCTTCTATCACTTAACACTAACTCACGCACAAGTCACATTCCCTGCACCACTAAGAGGTTGTGGAACACATGGTGGACGATATACTTGGAAGTAAAGGTCGAAATGTCCTATGCTGCCGACCAGTTTTATAATAGTCGAATAAATTATCATAATGAACACGTGCTAATGGAAAACTCCGTCTGGTTGGGGCCTTGACACTCCCTTCCACGGACCAAGTGGACAACGCTAGCTGACAGTGTTTAGAAAAAAGTTAATGTTTGGCTCCGTGCATGCGCCAGCGCAACTCACTTAATAATATTTCCCACAAAGTTCGCAATATCCGTGCGATAGCCCTTTGCCTCCTCCTCCGGCAGACTGTCAATGCTCTCGGCCGACAGACGTCGTTCACTGGGCGCCTCGTCCGCGTACATCGGTTGGTCGCCGTCGTCGCCGTAC